GCTAATAAATGCCTTCAGTAAGAGTTCTACCTTATCTGGCTGCAAATTCCATTCTGCCTCTATCTCTGCCTTACTCTGGCTGCAGTATCAGTCATGACTGTACTAACAGTTCTGCAGAAGTCCGCCCTCCAGTCTACACCCCTCCCACTCTCATTCTCCTACGTTTATACCTTTCATGGATTTTCATAGTAAACTCAGTCTTCTGATGTTATTTCCCATATGATGTCCTCCATAATCTTTCTCAGCCTCATTAATTCTTTACCTCTCAATGCTTTCATAATCTTTTATTCATAGCACTTATATACTGAATATGATTAATTATATACTGTGCATCATCCCTGCTAGACTGAATTCACTGAAAATGAGAAATGCATCTTGTTCATTTTATGTCACCCAATCTAACAATGCTCTATCAAAACCCAAACCAAAAACAAACATCTAGGCATTTTAGTCACTAATTTCAAAGTTCAAGCTATAACACAATGACATTTGCAAGGCAATTCGTTGATTCCTTATACACAAGCAATAAAAATCAGAATACATATGTGCAGAAGCAGCGCCATTTTCTATAGAAGCACATGCCATTAAAAAAGAGGAAGAAGAAGAAGAAAGAAAGAAATCAGGACACTTAGGTGGCCTAGTCAGTTAAGTGATTGGCTCTTGGTTTTGGCTCAGGTCATGGTCTCACAGTTTTTATGTTTAAGCTCTGCATTGGGCTCTGGGCTGACAGTGCAGAGCCTGCTTGGGATTCTCTCTGTCCCTTTCTTTCTGTCCTTCCCCTGCTTTCTCTCTCTCTCTGTCTCTCACTTAAAAATAAATAAATACTTTAAATTTATTTTTTAAAAATGAGGAAATAATATAACATTACCAGAATTCATGTACATAAAATCATAAAGCTTGACTTAAGGACCTGAATAAAAGGGGAAGTAACATGTTTTAATATTGAAAGCTTACATTTGGAAAGATGTTAATTCTTTAAAAATTAATTTGTAAATCCAATGCATATCAAGTCATAACTACAGCAGGATTTTAAATGGGGGTTGTCAGACCGATTCCAAAATTTATATTGAAGAAAAAATACATAAGATTTTGAACAAGAACAAGAGAAAACTTTTTCAAGCATAACACACTATAAAGGTAAATAAACTCTTTAGAAAAATATGGTATGAGCTCAGAAGAGAACAAAGAACCAATTAAACAGAATCAAATCAATTCCCTAATATATGACCATTTCCATTAAGATAAAAGATATCAATTCAAATGTATGAATAAGAAAGTCCTTTTAAATAAGATGGAAATAATTGGTTAAAAATGTATTAAAGTGAAAGAAAATGAGATTTCTATTCTATACACAAAATTTAATTGAGGAAGAGTTGAGTAGATAGATGTAAAAACAAAATAGTGATTAAAAGATGCAGTATTTTTGTAATCTTCATAGAAGTCCTTCTAAGTAAGACAGCACCAAAGAACTAGGAAATTATAAAAGGAATAACAAGACAAATTGAAAGTCTTCGAATGATGAAATACATCACAAAGTAAAAAAGAAAATTGACATAGTATTAAGAGACAATACTGTAAGAATGTATGCTACTAAAAGGATTAATATCCCAATACATCTAAAATATATAGGAAAATATAGTAGGAATTTACAGGGAAAAACATACAAGTACCAAATGTACTTATCCTTGTGTTACCAAAAGGTAAAGGAGTGAATTTAACGAGTACTGTAGCCACTCACATTTGCTACCAGAATGTCAAAAATTTAAAAGATGTATATGATTCATTGTCGTGGAGGGTTTGAGGGGATTGGGTCCTCTCATACATGGTTGATGGAGGGTTAAAATGGTAAAGCTTTTGGAATATAATTTTTAATATTTATCAAAGATTTTATCGTTTGTGAACCCAAAATTCCACTCACAGGTATTTACCCTATAGATAACTTTTGCTGCACACAACAAAAGACAGTTCAAGGATGCTCATGGCAGTCTTGATTATAATAGTGAAAAACTAGAAACAAACAATGGAATAAAGCCCCCAGACTAATTCTTATAAATGAATCAGAGAACAGAATGCATTTCTTTCTGTTCACATAAAAAAAAAATTAAACTGTATGGAAATGTAAAAAAAAAAAAAATAGCTGGGTCGATACACACCAAATATAAATAATTTTATCTGTGAGGAGGGTATGAAACAGTAGAAGAAAAATTTCACATTGTATCCCTCTTCTGTTTTAATCTTGTGCAGTTAGAATGCATTTATGTGATTTTTATAGATTTAAAAAGAGTACCTAAGAATATGCTTACTAATTGCACAAGATAATAGTAGGCACGAAAGCTTATAGTTTGAATAATTAATAATTAATTACCAATTCATGTTACAAATATATACCAGCATTGTCTTGTACTAGAGACTAGCTAAGCAGTAGTAACACAAGGATAAGGCAAAGCCCTGTCTTCAAAGTAATCATCAGGGGCCCAGAAAGGGATTGAACCATAAAATGACAACTTCTATAATACAGGTCCATAGGATGTCAGCTTATTCTTACCAGAGAAGACAGATTTCAGAATGGGCATGGGAGCGCAAGTGAACTTTTTTTTTTCTTTTTAGTTAATAGTAATATTTCCAACACATAACAGGCCACAGGAGTGGGAAGGCATTTGACATAATGGGCAGTCACTCTGACATGAGGTCATGGGTTTTGCTGTGCCAGTGTCTGCTGTTGAATCTCACCTCCACCCCTCACTTAAAAGCTGTGTGCCCTTTAGCTAAGTGACTTAACTCCTCTTAACCTCTATGCCTCAGCTATCATATGGCCATAGTAACCACATCCATTCCGAGGGTTTACTGAGAAGACTGAACAATGCCATTCATAAAAGCCTCCATATAGTACCTGGAACATACGTTTTATTAAATATTTGCTATTCTATTTGTTATCTTTAAAGAAGCCCAGAGAGCATGCTATGCTTAAAAAATTGAAAGAAGGTTGATACAGATGGGTAGCAAAACTATAAAACTTTTACTAGAAAATGGTGAAATATAACTTTAACTCCAAGTAAGTGCTGGGCATTTGCCTATAGAAATCTGGTTTTGTGTTTATTCACTTGCATACTAACAGGAAAATTATCTCATTATAAATAAAACAAATTTTAATATATATTCAATGGGATATGAATATTTTCCTGGTGAATGTGTATAAATGATAATGAAATTATTTACTTCAAATATTTAAGACTTCCAAAATTGGAATTGAAAGCAATGTTCTATCTTAGTCAACAAGGAATTTAATTTTTAGGAAAAAAAATTCATCCACCCAAATTAAATAAAGAATTTCATTAAAAAATAATTTTAATGCAGCTAAGTCAAAGATCTCTTCTTTGCATTTTCGTCTGCCCTCCTTCTTTTTGCTTCCTCACCATCATTTCAAACCTATAAGAATTCACATAACCACCATTTCAAACCACATCAGTCTTTCTATCTTGCTTGGCTTTTTCATTATGATAAATACTATTACTGCTGATATATATATATATGCACATTGGGCTCTCCAGTCAGACTACCGGCACAAAACCCTGGTCCTGTTGATTACTAGCTGTGTGAGTTTGGCAAGTTACTTAATGTCTCTGAGCCTCAGTTTCTTTACCTATAAAATGGGAATAATAATATTAATAATAATAATACATACCTACATATGTCATAAGGTTGTGAGAATTAAACAAATTGCTATATGTACAACATTTAGAACAGTGTCTAGAACTTTACTAAGTGTTTAATTAGTTGGTGGTATTAGTTCTCTTCTTGTTTCCAAACGTTTCCTTGTGTTGTTCATAACATAATTCTATTTCCTGCTTCTCTCTCAACACAATGTTATATTACGTACTCTCTCTTAGTGGTTTTCTGCATTTTTTAAACTTCTATGTCATGGCACCTGGGTGGCTCGGTTGGTTAAGTGCCAGACTACTGATTTTGGCTCAGCTCATGATCTTGCAGTTTGTGAGACTGAGTCCCATGTCAGGCTCTGCGCTGACAGCATGGAGTTTGCTTGCGATTCTCTCTCTCCCTCTCTCTCTGCTCCTCCCTGACTCGTGAATGTGTGCTCGCACTCTCTCTCTCTCAAAATGAAGAAATAAAAGTCACGAAATAGAAGATTTAAACTTCTATGTCAAAATAATCTTTATGTCATACTCAATACTTTATTCAGAGTAGAGTAAAAGCTACATCTTAGTCACTATCTCTACACATTGCTATCTTGGTGGGCCTTCCTCTAACACTATTGTTTCTCAATTTTTGCCCAATATATCAGATTATTAAAGTTAAAACTGTACTTGGATGTGAAACAATTTAAATATTAAAAGGACTGAGTTTACTTTACTATTTAATCTCAACATTGAGTACAGCTTTATAATCAACATTATCTTAAGTGAATAAATGTTTAATGACTGTTTGAAGGAATAACTCATTATAACATTATAAATTTAATTATGACACTAATGTAAATATTACTATAACTAGTACAACTAAAGGCTTCTGCTATAAGATTGATATACATTTTGTCCAGAACAGCTTAACTCTGTGGAATATTTATTTCTGTCTTACAGCACAAGCTTTCATAATGAATCACATTCAAAAAACATTAAAAAAAGATATATGAGTATATGTTAGGAAAAAAATTGCTGATGCTTGAAGGTATTTTCCATCAAAAATTAAATATGGCACAATGGTCATTTTGTAGAGTTCATTAATGAAATTGAGAAAGGATTATTAATCTCCAGTGTTAAATTGAATTTACAGTGAAAATTGATCAAGCTTCTCCTGACTCAGAAATATCCTGTGGCTACTATTGATCAAAAGTTAGGACCCTGATTATAATTCATATCCAAATACAAAAATGGGAGATAGAAATTATTCTTAAAAGATTTCTTATCAAAATCTATTGTATTTAGCTTACTAGAGGAAGTCTTATGGGCATCAATTTTATTGTGAAGATCTGCTGGAAAACATACCTGGCCAGGCTGAAGGCATCGTCGATCAAACCTGCTCTGTTACTGACAGAGAGAACCTAGGAGGTCAACCAGAAAAGGAAAAAAAAAAAAAAATGGAATCACTTAGAATTAAAACAGCAGGTGTTCACATCTCAAAACATATCTTTGATGAGTAAATCCAGTTTACCTCATGGTTTCTGATTAATTGATCAATTAGTAGTCTCCAATTCCTTAAATCATAGTTGACTCTAAAATAGCCAGTTTGATTGATGTTCCCCAGCAACCAGCTTCCTTTGTCCAAAGTTATTCTGTGGTGCTCTGAAAACAGCATTTTTGGGGGGTAAAATGGATTTTAAATTTATGGGTTAAAATGATATGAAGTATATTTTCTAAATTGCAGATACTGTAGTACCAATAATTAAAAGAGAACACCGTCATAAATACCTAGTTGAAATCTACTCTTTAATCAGTTCATCACTATATCTAGAATTCACTAGAAAACCTTTAGTTGGTTACTTATTATTACCTCAATTAATTGTTTTCTTATAATTAACATTTTTGTTCTTGATGAAAGCCCATTACCTACACAATGTTCTTCTCAAGACAAATGTAACCAAGAAATCTACTACTGTATTCATGTGGCTTCTAGTTAGATCGTATATAAATTAGACTAGAATAAAAGAAAAGACTTTAGGTGCATATTCTACTTATTTTATTCAGTAAGAAAGTGATTAAAACAACAGGGCTCATTTATTTTAAAGTCACTATTGTTCCTTGCTTTTTTCTTGGGCTTTCTTGGAGGTACCAATAAATAACAGACTTTCCAGTGTCATCAATAATGTTGGAAAAAGGAACCTCATTTGTTTAAGAATCTAATATTTCTGTATATAATTAGAATAAAGATAATACATTCTGTTTATTGGAATCACTTTGGAAAACGGTAACTTGTTTATATTCCCTAGCTAATTCAATTAAAGTAAGCCAGTTAAAACAATCTATAACTTAAATATTTAACTCCTTCAAATATGGTACAGATAGTGAACTCTGTTCACTTTAATTTCAGCCTCTATTGACTTCACAGAAGCATAGTTTTACAATTCTAATCATTTCATTGATGTCAGGACTCATGTTTCATAGCAGTTACATAATGTATTAAATTTACTTAAGGTTTGTAATTTATACACACACACGTGCGTGCACACACACGCACACACCCCACACACATAATGGTCTATCTAATTTCTACAATGACTTTAAACCAGAAAACGCATTACCGAAGCCATTTGTGTCAGTTCTCAGTAAGATGGACAATCTCCAATTTTCACTTTGTTATCAAGGTTTTCACACATCAGCCTACAAAACAGGATTTTCTTTTCTCTTTCTTTTTCTTTCTTTTTTTGAAACACTGAATTTATATTCTCTCTCAAGTAGACACCACACAGGAAGAGGTTGTGGCTCCCAAATTATTGGCTGAACATTAGTGACTATTAATTGCTCAGGTCTGGAATGGGATGGGCTCATTAATCTAAAGCATGCTTTATTCTGCCAATTTTTATAAATGGACGGTAAAACCAAAAATGTATACTGAACAGAAAAATCTACTCTTTAATATTTCAAATAGCACTTCAGCTTTCCTTCCACCTTTATAAATAGCATCTGTTGGAACAGATAAAGAAATGAGTCTCAGACAGGTTAATTGAATTGTCCAAGAAAACTGGAAATGGTCCATCCCAGGTCTCCTGACTTTGGTGTCCTTTTTACTACATTATATTCAATTGATACAAGATGGTATAACACTTTTACTGTAATATGATATATACTTTTCACATTTTTATATTGATTTAAAAGGAAGGACATAATATTGGAAACAAGAATTAGAACAGAAGCAGGATAGTTAGATTTCTGTTTCACTTCTCCTAGACATAAATGTTTGAACTTAGGCCACTCATAATAATCTAAGGGCTGAGTAATAGAATTTAAGGTCTCTTCCAATTCTGTGGCTCAATGGAAGAAGGAACTATTTTCCTTAATTTGAAATTTTACCCAGCTTAATCTATGCTACTTAAAAAAATTAATCTATCAGATATTTCCTTAAAATGTTAATAGTTCCCCAACTTCCTCATACTTTGTTTTTGTATTTTTCAAAACTTTAATGTGCTTATCCACAAAATTCCTATGAAGCTTTAGAATGACACCCCATTTTACAGATATAAAAATAAAAAATAATTAACAAAAGATAATGAAATTTTTAAAAACTAAACCTTATGAAGAGAGATTTCAATTAATCATGTCAGAATTCAGTGGAAGAAAATAGATTGAAATACTGATGATATTGTTTCTCTTAAGTAATCATAACTCTGTCTTCAAGAATACTAAGATTTTATAATAACACATATTTAAATTGTGATTAAATTCATGGGTTAAGAGCAAATTTGATCATTTTCACCTAAAGAGTGGTTATTTTTTTAAATAATTACAGTAGTAAACAAGTTAAAAAAATAATCAAGTTTAATACATAAATACGTAATTTAGGTTTTTACAATTCTAAAACAGTCATGGATTCCTATGATATTAATCTAATTTTTAAAGTTATCTCTTGTTCACATTTTAGATAACTGACACAATTAAACCTCATGTGATACACTTGGCTCTAAATGGGTGACAGATGAGGCCCCTGGGTGGCTCAGTCGGTTAAGCGTCCGACCTCAGCTCAGGTCATGATCTCATGGTTCGTGGGTTCAAGCCCACGCATTGTGCTCTGTGCTGACAGCTAGCTCAGAGCCTGGAGCCTGTTTCAGATTTTTTTATCTTCCTCTCTCTCTGATCCTCCCCTGCTCTCTCTCTCTCAGAAATAAATAAAACATTAAAATAAATAAATAAATAAATAAATAAATAGCTGACAGTTATTAGGAGGGCACTGGTTGTGATAAGTACTGGGTATGGGTATATAACTGATGAATCATTAAATTCTACCCCTGAAACTAATACACTATATGTTAACTAATTGCACTTAAATAAAAACTTGAAAGTACAAAAAATTTAAAACATTAAAAAATAAACTTATTGAATTCAACAACTTATAGGTAGAAGAGAGACAAATTAAAATACAAAAACAGTCCCTACACATTTTGTGTCATTTGATAAGAATAAAAAAGGCAGGCATCTATTGTTATTAAGTATGCTATTATTAAATTGATAACTAAAACCTGAAGGTTATTACTGTTCATGAACATTTTTATGCCTTTGTTATAAATGAAATCTTGGGGGAAATGATTCCCTGAAAGATTTTGTAATAGATTTTTAAATGTCTTTTTCATTCTAGTTAATTATATCTTTAAAATGTTCTTCAAATTAACTAATGGCAAGCAATGAATTTTAAAGAGATCTTTCCCAATGGCCTAATGAGGTGTGTATGGTATGTGACGAGTACCAAAATAAAAAGTATGGAAATTATATTTGAATGTTAGTAATAACAATCTAGAATTATATTTAGAATGTATTCAAAGTGGCACAAAATTTAGATTATATCAAGGCACAGAGGAGTTGGAATTTTATAGTATTCTGTTTTTATATTCTATACTTTCAGAATAAAAAGAGGAATATCAAGCTTTTCTACTCAGTTTTGGCTAGTTACAGAAAAGTCAGAAGTTAAACCAAATAAAATGGCAACCAAAGTAACAAGGGTATCAATATAAAACAAACTCGGGTATAGTAACACATAGTGCCTCTCATTGGACTTGTGTGAGAACTGAGTTAGAAAATGCTCTGTAGAACCTATAAAGAACCATGTGTGTGAACACAGAGGCAACGTGTTGAGTAACTGGCACATCAGCTAAGCAACCTTAAAATTTAAGTTTTAAATTCTTACGTATGTGTGTGTGCACACTTGTAGTTTAGAGGGAATAAGTTTAGAAAAGAACACCAAGCTCCTGAGACAATTTGGGCACGTTATTTCTCAAGCCTTAACTTCCTTATTTGTAAAATAGGGATAAAAATAACTCATTCTAAAGGCTTGTGAGTCTTATATAAACCAATGATTAAGGCAAGCACTACATCATTATACTATTTTTAATGTTTACTTGTAATTTCAGCATCAATTTCCCTTTTATGTTGAATCTTTTCTAACATTTGGCATTAAATTTATTTCCTTCTATTATATATTAACTGTCAATAAATATCCAAGGTGCTACATTTATAAATGTCTATATTCTCAGTGTTTCAACAGTAAAATTAAAAGAGATAAATCCTTTACCTGCTTTCAATAATTTAAAATTTGGTCTTAAAACTATTTTTAGGATAAAATGAACTATGCCTTAACTTGGAATCAATTAGATAATCACCTAAAGGGTTTAAAAAATTGATGTGTCAAGAGTATATGATGTTTCAAATCAAATATATACAGTAACTATTTACCAATGACTGTGACTTAGTACCTCCTGAGATCAAATCTATGTTACTGACAATGAAAAATATTAAGTCATTGACCATATTGTCATAATTAAAAGGTGGACTTTTAAGATGCATGCTGATAAGAATTGACCAAAATAGTTTCTTAATGTTTTTATGGAAAAACATTAGTATTGATATTATTATTGATACTAGTTGACTATATTTTGAAAAACAAGAGAGAGAGAAGTCATAACATATAAACGGAGACAAGAGTTAACAATCCTCCCTCCCAATTTGTACGTTGTGTCAGTTTTTATTTGTCATCAGAATAAAGGACTTTAAGACAAAACTAAATATAGTCAGAATGAGACTGAACAGGGAAAACAGAATGGTTGATTTTTCTTTTAGGTCCCGCTTGGAAGCTTCTTCCAGATTTATATATTTATAAAGTTTTCAAGGAATATTTACTTGAGATGGGCATTCCCCACAAAGGTGTGAGGATTTCTTTTCTTTTTTTTTTTTAATATAGTTTATTGTCAAGTTGGTTTCCATATAACACCCAGTGCTCATCCCAACAAGTGCTCTCCTCCATGACCATCACCCTTTTTCCCCTCTCCCCTACTCCCCATCAACTCTGTTTGTTCTCAGTATTTAAGAGTCCCTTATGGGTGTGAGCATTTCAATTGGGACAATGTTTCATCAACGAGAAGACTCCACTATGATTTAATGAAAACTGACACATCATACTCTGTAGGTTGCATACTGCAACTTTGGGGTGAGGAATGTGCCATCAGTATGAGAGTAAATGTAAATATCATCTCCCAGAGTTATGCAGTGCACACACTATGTAGTATGTGTAAAGCCATGTGTATTAATATAGGTGACATTTTAGACAAATGTATGCTTTGAAACATCATGTTGTTATTATTTCTGATTAATAATGAAAGACTGTAAGTGGAAACAACTTCTCAAATTCACATGTTGTTATTGGTCAAGAAAATCTGTGACCCTATTCTGGGTATTCTGTGTGAAACAAAGAGGATACTATGAATGACAGCATGCAAATAACTGGGGAGTTAGGGGCAACAGACCTGGGGAAAGTATTCAAGAATGATCAGACTTGCCCTGAATTCCTACACTGCCTAAAAGTGAAGTTTTGGTCTGATCTTGACATTTGATCAGTATCTCTGCACTCTTCCAATTGTCTCATCTCCATTGGACCTTCCAATGAGAAATGTTTTACTTGGTTTCTGAAAACTATTCTATCTCATGTCCCTAGCAATCCTATGAAGGGATGACTTTATTCTAACAGTTAAATCATTAGGTTAATGACTCACTGTTTTCACTCATCATTTCACAACAAATTATGTAGGTAGATAAAACAACTACATGAAAGTCTAAAAGAAGTAAAATGATAAATAATATAGTAAGTGTGAATTCAGAATCATGGTATGAATGCTAAGTCTAAGAAATGAATAGAATAGAATAAGCAATTTAAAAAGAAAAACACCAAAATTTAAAATATTTCAATTAATCACTACCATACTTATGAATTTTTTACACATGATGTATATAAATAAAATTACATATTTTCACAATATGTGATTTTGTGTTAAAATATAATAACATGAAAATTTGAATAAAAATTCAACTGGAAATATAGGCATTTATATTTCTGGTATGTAGATTAGATTTTGCTATAGAACTTTTCCTGGTATGTATGTATTTTGAGCACTTACATATCCCTTATAATAGCAAGTCTGTGGGGGCAGAAACAATGTTTACTTTGTTATTTATTTAATTATTTATACCTCACTTACTGCAAAAAAAAAAAAAAAGATTTGTGGCTCCTTATACAGTGGTTATGAAATCAATTAGCAGAACACAAAGGAGTAAGAAAAACAAAGTGTGGACATACTTGATCATTTAAATCTAAATGAAATGTTGCATAAATGATAATAATTGGCTTTTTCTTCAATTCAATAGAAAACAGAAATTAAAGAGACCTGTTTCACATCTAGCATGAAGGATTTAGATTGGATTCAAGAAATAGCTTTTTGGCAGTGAATTGAAATAGGTTACCACCTTATTGGAAGGTATTTAGAAACAGAATAGAATCTCATCTTTCTCTGCTCCTTGAGAGTTAACCCTACTTTAGAGGGTGCTTTGATGACCTACCAAGGCCCCTCCTTTCTGTCCATATAAATATCTAATTTTGGAGTATATCACTTTGCCATTCTTTAAAAAGCCAGTGTGGTAAAGACAAGATAGCAGGAAAATGGAATTGAAAATGTGGCTGGTGTTCCATTATTTGTCATACTATTCTATTGGGAGTTATTATTATAATGCAATTACATTTGGGATTATAAAATGATAGAGTTTAAGACAGCTAAAATTAGTATTACAAATACTTGGTTTTAAATTTTCTCTTTACCATCAATGACACAAAGAAATTTAATAATTATATAGGCAGGTTAAAACAAGACTATGTACAAATTATTCTATGTATTTAATTTTATAAAGGTGATTATCATTCTTCTATATTCTCTAATTCATCTTTATTCACATTTTTATAACAGCTGAAACCAGAGGTTAAGTTGCTAAACAATTATCTGAAACCAAATAGTTCCTGAGGGGAGAATATATATTTTACCTGTTTTGTTAGACACCCAAATAATTGCTTCTGAAGACACATGGCTTCTATTTCCTACCACAATAGTTAATGGAATCTGCCACAGGTAACTGAAAAATAAAATAGAAACTTTAAGAATAAAAAAGGTTATAACAAATAAACAAACAACATTAGTTGTGCATCTTCTGCTTGGTTTCTATTATGCTCTTTAGGGGAATTAAAAAAAAATTCCCCAGTTACAAAAGTCAGGAAGAAGTCAAAAAGATGAATTCACTTCTTCAAAGCCACTACACAGACTTAACCTGTGTTAAGAGTTTTTTAATTTCAACACAAAAGGGGGGTTTTCAACAAAACAATTTATCTTGCAAAAACATAATTTGCATTTTGCATTAGGAATAAAAATTAGCTAAAATCAATAAGAGCCCACTGTATATTGATTAAAATCTCTAAGCAACTCCTTTCTCTTCATTTCTATATTAAATTAATACACATTTCAGTGACTTCATGCATTTACCTTTCAACACTATCCTTATTTATTCAGATAACTATCCTAAAAAGTACTATTATTACATTTTACAAAAAGGTTAATTAATATAGCACACTCAAAGTTACTCTGCAAAGTAGGAATGAAAAAAACAAAACTAGTCAGATGTCCCTAAAATCCAGGTCAATACAAAGAACACTGTCGGGTACATTTAATGCTCTGTTTTCTGAAATGAAATTTCCGAATTGATGTGTAAAATCATCAACCAATGTGCAGGGATCAGTCATGAGTCTCAGCCATTAAGTGAAGAATTTTCTGGAATTTGACTTTTTATAGGATAAAAATTGAAGCCTATACTTGTACATGAAATAGTATCAATTTAATCTCAAGTGACTAGCCAGAGATAAGCTGGATAGTCTTTTTTTTTTTTTTAATGTTTTTTTGTTTATTTCTAGGAGAGAGAGAGACAGCATGAGCAGGGGGTGGTCAGAGAGAGAGAGGGAGTCACAGACTGAAACAGGCTCCAGGTTCTGAGCTGGCAGTCAGCACAGAGGCCGACGCGGGGCTCGAACCCACGAAACGCGAGATCATGACCTAAGTGAAAGTCGGACGCTCAACCGACTAAGCCACCCAGGCGCCCCAAGATAGTCTTAAAATAAGTTCAGTGATTACACTTTGTTTCTTTTCCTGAAATATAGCCAGATTATGTTGACCTATCATTGCATCATTAAGAACAGGGGCAGCCAACAATGTCTAGTATGTGAAAAATACTGATGATTTTATGGAAGAGATACTAAATGAGCTCCGTAATTGGGAGAGTGAACAGAGAATTGAGAAGTTTTCAGGAACTATATCCAGGGTTATATAATTTTAAAATATAATGAATATGTTGGGGAGATGGGAAGAGAGGGCATCTCCTCTCATTCTGTCATATGGAATTTGATTATTTTACCATTTCATGTTTCAATTTTACAATAAACATAATTCAGTAATAGTAAAAAAAATCTAAATAGAAGATTGGAAGAAATTCATAATTTTATACCAATTGCCATCTTTAATGTGAAGAGTTAATGTGTTTAAAATTTAAAAATTTTAAAGTATATGCTGTATTTAGTCAGAGAAACATCTTTGAATGCCAACTATATGGAGACACTATGCTGTACTACAATGGAATCTACACAGTTGGTCAGGAAATAAGCAACCTATAGTAGCCAAACATATTGTTTTCAAAGTACAAGTAAATGAACACAATGCATGTAAGCATTTTATCAAATACCTCCAACGTTGTAATTAATACTAAGAATATGGCAAATATTTAATAATGGTATTACTCTGAGGAAGACAAAGAAAATCGATATATATTTCTTCAACAGCAGATCTCTAAAAATAATGACTCTTTTTTGATTAATTGAAAGCATTAGTTAAGAGAAAATAATGCATCTGATTCCCAAAGTAAACAATGAGCTCATATTTGTGTACCTAAGATCTTAAAAAAGCCTAGAAATGGAATGCATTCCATAAATTGCTGTTGAATTGGATCAAATGGAATTAGACCAAAGTAAAATAAAAGGGGCCAAATCAGTCTGTGGGCAAGACCGAGATTAATTTTATGAACTTGACTTTTTGGTACATATCTTGCACATGGAGTGCAATTTAGTAGGGTCAACTAAATTGTGAAGCCAAATAAGTATCAGTTAAAGGGCAAGAGATATATAAAACTGAGGATGTTTGAAAATTCTCAAGGATAAATATATCTTTCTTAAGCATGATCGTGGACTGTCAATGAAATACTATTTTCCCTTAATATAAAAAAATATAATTTTGCATCTAGTTAAACTGTATTCTTTGAAATAGTGAAGCTAAAAATTATGATAAAATTTCTATGGCATGCTTCAATATTTGAATTTTAGCAAAAGTGTCTAATGTACAAAAAAAGAGATTCATATCAATACCTGCACGTTGTTTACAGTCAATGGCATGTACACATAGGAAACTTCTTAAATGGCACATAGCTATTCAGATGCAAAAGAGTTAACTCTAATATATTGGGATACAAATATTGGGGCATTTTGTAAAACTTTTGAAATAGCCTTCTATATTTTTCCTAAGAATGTTTTGCCTTCTGTGTGTCTGTGTGTATATATATGTGTATATGATTGAATATTCATATAGTGAAAATCTATACAGTGTCCCAGAAACAAAATAAAAATTACAAATTACCAAGAATATCTAAAATTTGTATTCATTTCTGAATTGCTATGTGATCAATCCTACATGTTATTTTTCATAACTTTCCAAACAACACATATTTGATCTTTTCACAAATTTCATTTCAAAAATCAAAGAAAGTGTGGCAATTATGTTGCTATACAGTTACAACTTAAAAGGGTGGAAGACACTAAACATTGTTGAGTGAAATGTGGCGTGCTTTAAAGAAAATCTTAGCCTTCAGTGGGTTATGTTTGAAAAAAGATTAGAAAAAAGAATTTGTGAAATTCATTTGTGTTCCAGGCGCCTAAGTTTTTATCTCAGCCATCTTATTTTTTGAGATGTTAAGCAGAAAAATAACAAAAACAAGAATATACACAAAATGCATTTCAACAGACCTCAAAGATATTTTTTCTTTAATAGTTCCTGGGACTATCTCTCTTCATAGTTCACATTTTTATAATAAAGCAATATTTATCCTAGTAATCATGTTAAGGTAGACAATAATAGGTACTTATTTTAGCTTGAGAGAGAAATCTTTTTTAAAAGTGGTACCAAGATTAGAGAAGCATTAATGTAGACTCCATAAACCCTTGAGAAGTTGCTGACATTGGGTCAATAGCAAAAGGATAATACAACTTTGGAGGCAAATATAATTCTCTGTAGCACAGGACTCTGAGCAGCTCCATAAGTATATGAAGGAGATATTACTTAACACTGCAATATATTAACTTCATAAAGAAAAAAAAAATTCAGAACTCCCAAAGTCCCTAAATTCAAGCAAATATTTAATTCACTTTTATATATCATCAAACTTTATGCAATTCTTAGTTATCTAAAGACCTTTCTATGCTACAATACAGTGACTACATATGACAAATAGAATTACCATTACATTAAAAGTGTTTTGGGGTATGTTGTAGTAATGTTCTAGTATCCTTTAAAAAATTCAAGACAAAGAATTCACTATACTGACTCAGAAAATATCCACAATTCATGGGGTTTCTTGTATCTTTACTGGATCAACAGCTTGCATTGTGTAAGAAAGATCTAGGTAGGCTACATACAAAAGACAGATAGAATTGGTATTGAAGTTCTGACCACAAGGCTAGGGTAAATAAAATGACCAAGACTACACAATTGAATACTAAATTTTTAACTGCAACCTCTATTATTTCAAAATAGATAGAAAATAATTTTGGAGATTAAAGGGACTCCATGTATTATCTTACTCTTAATATTTTATATGTCAAGTTCTCAGGGTTCAAAATTATCCATATGATGTTGTAACTCTAGCCAAAGCAAAGCTCTATGGATGTTACATATGCTTATACAGACTGAGAGAAAGCCTTCCTTTAAAGAGTCAGACTCATGGCTGATACATCTGATGCATGTTATAGGCTGACAGAGCATTTTTGTACAAAATTTGTTCTGTCATTTGGCGGTCCTTTATGTTTTTCTGCATCAGTGATGTTTGTGTCAGACTGATCATTCTCAAAGGCATGGCCCAAATCTCTCTAACTTTGCCACAGTCAAGTAGTTTTTATGTACTTCCTGGCAAGGCCAGGGTTGATGCCTAAGCAGGTTTAGCCTGGGGCCAGAGGCTGGAGGATCAGAAGAAGCATTTGGCAGCTGTGTGGAATCCAGGCTGAGTAAAGAAGCCGTGACAGAGTCCGGCCCTGACCCTGTGGCAGAGTAACACTGGACTGAAACAGATGGGCTGTAAGGGCAGTCCATTGAAGGCCAAAATATATACTGACCAGGAGATTTAAGACAATGCTTTCCTGAATTTCCTGAATGACATTCCAAATTTAGTCACCAGAAAACATTCATGAATTTCTCAATCATTTCTATGTATAGCCCATCTTTGAACTAACCTGCTTGGGAATGATTTCTATTCCTTTTGGAGATTAACACAAAACCAAAAACAAAAAATAATTCATGCTTCATAGAGACTAGAGACCGGTGGATGATAAAATCAGGATTCTAAGATCCCAATGTAATGGAAGACAGAATAACTAATCTAATCCAAACACTCCACTTTGTTTATTAATTTTAAACCCCACTGTCCTCTCCCCCTTCAGTCTTTTCTCAGGGTACCTTTTAAAAAATAAAATGAGCTGATTTAAGTTCTATTATCTTTCCTTGGCACAAAGCAGTTTTTAATAAGGCACAAAGCAGTAAGGAAATACAAAGTGGTAAAGAAAGCAGCACTGTGTGCTGGTTTCAGTAATTAAATAAGAATTTCAAAAGAAAGTTTAACAACAAATAAAAATTCTATTATGTTGTGTGCTTACTGGTTTTAAACACTGAAAATGAGGGAAGAGAACATATTTTGATGCTAAGTAGCATTGATACTTAGACCACTTAAAAATGAATCTAGTTTGAGTTCCTTCACCTCAGACACTAGTTAGTCTGGTTGTGGTTTTTAGTTTGTTTTAATTAGTCTTTCTGGATAGTTAGTTTCTATTACCATCTATTTTAGAAATCTCAATTTGCTCAATTCCATTTAATTGACTTCAATGCATCTTAACTTCCCTGACTTTTAGTCAACGAACATGTACAGGGAAAAGTAAGAAATCACATATTTTTCTAAATCACCATAATAATTTAAACTCTGTCTTCTTAAGCAAAATAACTTTGGTATGGTGTCACTTTGATGGTTAAAATATCTGGAAATGAGAGTAAAAGAGGAATCAAAATGAAAACACCATATGTAAATAAAGAAATGAAAACTATATTTCACTTACATTTTATAATTGTGTTAGGCAATCCTTTATAAAATGTTAAGAATGCAAAGTGAAAAATATGAATAAAAGCAATTGTTTTTTCATGTAAAGGATTGTTGTACCTGTTATTTTGAAGTTCAAGTGCTTTAGATTTAGCGCTGATGTCATAAATAAAATGTTGCTGGGTAATTATTATTCTGTTTTCTGCTGTTGTATTTCCCAAGATGGTGATAACAGGATAACCCATCTGGAGTGTCCACTGGTCCATTACTTCTTGTATATTTACATATTTTCCATTCCTTTTTAAAGCCTTTATAACCAAAATTGTATAAATTAGTTTTATAAACATGAATTATAAACATAATTAACATTAAGCCATTTTTATTTTTACCTTTATGATTTACTTAAGTTTGAAAACATGTAAAATCAGTGAAGCTAATATAATGTGTTATTAAAATTAATCTTCTTGCCTTAAGTTAAGCTTCATGCATACAGATAGAAATGAAAGCTTTATTAACATTAGTTTTTACTTAATGGAAAATAAAACATAGTTTATTGTTAAAACAAGTACTTGCAGCATCATTAAGTATCTCCAATATGTCTAGTATCAAACTTAAATATTTGTTATTTACTTATAGAAAAAAACTACTTTAACATCAATATTTCTCTCAAACACGAGTGCCTGACACCATATTAATGTTATGTTTCAGAAATACTGTCTTGCTTGAAAGTAGGCAAGGTACTTTTTATTACCATTTATAGTTTAAGTAATTTTAAACTCCGTTATTTTTATAATATAATATATCAAAATTAAAACAATTAAGCAATATGAGGAAAAGGGAAATATAAAAGTAAAAACAATTGTCAGTTCCAATAAAAGTTATGAATGGTTTATAAACTCAATTCAAATATTCAAGAAGAGATTTTAATATTTGAGCTTCCTATACTTTACCTCTGATAGTGTATTCCAGAGATCATTTCTGGCTGCATTGCCATACTTATGAATGGTTAAATAATCCTACAAAGAATATAAAATTGTAATTACAATTCAAAGGCTAAGCAGTTTCCAGTAAACACACTTATTTCTCAATTCAATTAACCATTTCTATTTGTTAGAATTACATTAGTACAAAGACAAGGAGAAATGCATGGGGAACAAAGAATCTCATTTTAAAATATCCCAAAGAGATTTAACTATAACATATCTCTTTATTAAGTCACCAAGCAATACTGCCACCTTAAAAATTATCTTCATAGCCATAATCCCTTCTTATGGATTCCCGGGGTTGAAGACCTTCCTCTGATTTAACAAATCAACCTCAGGCAATTTTAAAGAAACTACCTCTGCAGTGAAATATTTAGAAGACACTTCCCCATCAGGCCTTCCTGTTGAAATGCTGGCGGGTGGGGGGGCAGGGAAGAACTGTCTTATGGAAAAGAAAAAAGAGCAACAGAAACCTGACTGATACACGCTGATGTGAGGATGAATTGCTTTGCCAAAAGAGTGATGACTGTCTCCCAAACCTATCCAACTCCCTAGTCTCTCTGCAAAGGGCAGGCTGTCTCATACAAAAAAAAGATACACACTTATTTCCATGAGTTTGAATATATATTAATATTTAATAAGAAATAGTCAATCCTACACTTAATATTTTTGAGCATAGAGCTTCCCATTTCCCTGTTTCCATCATTAGTAGTTCAATCTACACACTTTCTATCTACTTCATGCCTATTTCCTTCTATGAAGCATGGTTTATGTCACTGTGAATATGTTTTTTAGTTATGGCTAATTGGCGTTATTCATTTCCTGAATCCAAAGCTAAAAAACTGAATAGAAAATAGTATTTTATATTAAAAAACAGAGAGTCCTGTCCATTAGAAATTCCATCATCTCTACAACATGTAGGCAGTAGACAAAATCCTAATTTACATCACAGTACTGAAAATGAAAAAAAAACTTGCTGACTCTTTTCAGTACTTTACATAGAGTGGAATACTTTGGGGATAATTAAACTTGGGGAAGAAATTTTTCTGAAATACAAATTGTAGCACCTGTGACAGATTCAGCTTTGTTGGCAACTTGCAGCACAGCAAATGGCAACTCCCACTTAATCAGACTCTAAAGACGCAGTGCCCAACACGAACGTAGCAACCACAATCCAGCACTGCCATCAGGTGTTATGAATAACTTTATGGAAAAAAATGCAACCCTGAGTAACCAATCTGAATTCCCCTTTTGCTTTGAATATGCCATACGAATCATTTTCCATTAGAAGTCAGGGACCAGGATTTAGATAAATTATTTGAGATTTAACTGTCAGAACTATCTCTTATGCTTTTTCAGCAGTTACATGAATAAATTTGGGAACAATGGGAATTATGAAGCTTAAATTTGAGTTTTATCTTAGTGATGCAATAATAAAATGTATCAAAATAGAATTATTTATTTCTTGGATTCAGTTTATGGAGTGCTGGTAGGATAATCCCAAAGAGGAAACAAAGGAATTACGCCATGGACCTTGAAAGGTCCAATACATAACTACAAGATTCTCTTCACAGACACACCAACTATTCATGTTACGAGTTGACCTTGGCTCAATAGCAATCATCAACTCAAGTTCTTGGTTCCCTCCCCAATTCAGAATAAAGCTCAAATTTACATTTCAAGCAGGCTGAAATGGCAATTATCCAGCCTTCTGGAAGCAGCTCTGACTTGCTTGCCTCAGAATTCAGGGCAGAAAGTGTCTTCCTGGACTCTCACCAGTCCCAATCTTCAGGTGTTCCTGGAATTCTAAATACGACAACTCTTTTTTTCCAAATAAAACAAAACAGAAAACCCCAAGTGTTTTCCTTAGTTATTGCAGCCTTCCTCTTGCATATTTGTATTTTAAATTAAGGAAAATTTGGAAATTAAGGAAAATAGTCATATTTTAAATTAAGGAAATCTTGTTTTGCCCTTGTCAAATTACAAAGACAGTTACAGAACCATAAATGTGTAGTTTTTTTTATGATCAATCATTTATTTATTAATTCATTCCACAAAATGTAAGGTGTACTTCTCATGTGCTGGTGGCTTTCATGTGCTGGGGGAACAGTGGCGGAGAAAAGGTTACTGAGAACAACGGCAGATACTGAGATGTGATTTGGGGAAGACGGTTTCTGTGACTGAAACTGTAGGAATCTTGGTACAAAACTATCTGACAAGATGAATTCAAACATTTGTTATGCAATTAAATAAGAAAATCTTAAGTTCCTTCCAAATCTACAAGTGGATGGATATGGAGATGGCTGGAGTTACAAATATGAAATGGAAATTGATTTTTATAGTTATGTGTATGAAAGTCAATCAGCAGTAGACTTGACATAATGATATAAAGTAGGAAAGGGTTTTAATATTAACTGTAAAAAGAATCAAGGGTTCTCAGAAATAGTAGAGTTGTTGAGAAGAACAAAGATAACCACCAGAATATTCTTAACAGACAAAACTGATTAAAAGTCAAAAGCCCATTTAGCAAAAGTATATACTGTTACATAAAATGCAAGAATGGAAGTCTGACTATCTTTGTTCAAGTCCACACCCCAACACTCTCTAGTGATTTGGCAAGTTGCTTAACGTCTCTCCGTGCCTATCTTCACACCTACAAAATGGGGATAATAAAAGTACTTGTTTCATAGGATTATTCTAGGAAAAAATGTTTTAATATCTGTACAGAATTAGAAAAGAGTGCCTAGTATACAGTAAGTATTCAGTAGACATAAGCTACCATAATCTTTGTAATCATTTCAGCCTACTGGTTGGAAACAGAGTAACTGAAGGGAAAATATCACTGATAGTAATAACCAAAGAATAGAGCAAATGAAAACAATAATATTTGCCTCCTTTTTATAGTGCTGTGTGGGTTGCTTTACATTTTAGCTCATTCAATCCCATGACATTTATGGGGTAGATATTATTATCATCATCATCTAATAAATCAGAACAGTGTAACTCAGAGACCCCAGCCCATGACTGAACCCCATACCTGCATACACAACTGCTGACCCAAATCCAATATCTGCTAGATGTCGCACAGACAACTAAGAGCTGCTCAAAGCTGAAATCACTGTCCTCCTCTGTATCAGCTCCTTTTGACAGCCCTTCTCCAGTGACAACCCTTCCATCCACCTCAACCAAGGAGTTTTCTTGGATGCCTCTCTCTCCCTTTCTACTACATTCAAGTAATGATCCACCTTCCAACTATTTCCTCAAGGTTCCCCTTTCCTTCATCCTATTTGATAGGCTCTCTGGATGACTAGCCCTGCCCCTGTTCCTGCTCTGTCCCCTTCACATCGCATCTCTGCAGGCAGCGGAATAGTTTCCATCAAATGCACACATGGATCCCTGCTACATTCAGAATACAGTTCAAACACCCTAATGGGACTTAAAATGCCCCTCATGGTCTGGTCCTTCTGTACTTCTCCAATCTCACTTGTTACTTTGTTGCTCCCTGCCTCAACTTAGCCACTTCCTACTTTCTGCAAATGCCTGTTCATACTCTTTTCCTTTTCTAGTTCGCTGCACAAGCCCTTTGCTACGTATGCTTTTCTCTTTTGCCTACTTCAAGTCAGTTCAGTCTCCAGGACTCAGGCTTGATCTATTTTTCCCAGGAATCCTTTCTTGCCCATTCCCATCCCTTCCTAATTCTGAGTTAAGTACCCCTCTTATATTCCCACTCATATCATAAAAGAGCATCTATCAGACTGTGTTCTAATTGCTTGTTCATTAGTTTGACTGCTCATGTACTCTGTAAATAAATTCCATGAGAGTAAGGCCCCTGTTACTCCTGGTGACCACTGCTTAGCCAGTATCTACACACCTAGCTGGGGACATAGCAAATGCTGAATCTATGTGTGTGATTCCTGACTTTCCTTATTCAATATGGCTTCCTGTGAACAATTGACAGTGCTGTAAAGAGACATGTCTTATATCCATCAGGTTCCTCCAAAATGTCATATTTAAACACTAACATAGAACATAAGTTATTATTTCAGTGCATATTTGTCAGATATATAACTCTCAGTGATAGATGCAATTGTATATGATGCCATCAAAAGACTGAACTATTGGGTCTGAGACCATTTTTATTTTACTTTCTTTGTTAACAAGTGACATGATCCACAATCTGTCATGCACAAAAGCCAATGGGACTAATAAGTAAACAAGGAGAAAAGTAAAAGGTGAGCTGAGGAAGGAAAGCACAATTATCTTTTAATATGTTTACATGGAATAATTACGCTCTCCTAGTAATGAGCCTTTTAGCACATTAAAATAGAGGACAAACTGCACAAAGGATTTATTCCTCAGGACACAGGGCACTTTATTAAAAACCAGATATATGGACCGGATGATATATGCTTAGCTGCAAATTACAAAAAATCCACCCTAGAATGACCTTTTTAATAAGATTTAGTCTTTCCTATTATAAAAAGGTAAGACAGCTACAACTCTTTTCCTCCAGAAGTTGTTTGTTCCCGACTTTACTTGTGTTTTACCTTCATCCTCAGTTTTGTGGCTAGATTGTACAAGTAATCCCAACCACCACATTCAGACATGACATTGCACAGAGGAAACAGAATTTCTTCCTGAGCATCTCTTTTTAAGGATCAGGAAAACTTCTTGGGGTGCCTGAGTGGCTCAGTCACTTAAACATCCTACTCAATTTCAGCTCTGGTCATGATCTCACGGTTTGTGAGTTTGAGCCCCGCATCAAATCCCTGCTTGGGATCTCTCTGCCTCTCACTCTGCCTCTCCTAAGCACGCGCTCTCTCTCTCTTTCTTAAAATAAATAAAACTTTAAACAATAAAATAAATAAAATAATAATGAAAACTTCCTCTCAGTTCCTGCATCAAGCTCTCCGTGATTCCCATTTATCAGAATCACATCATGTGCTCTAGTGGAAATGTGTTAATGAGGCTTTAGGGGGTATTGCTTTGGGACTGAACAAGGCAGGACCCAGTCCCGTGTTTTCTCCAATGAG